CTTTGTAATTCTCAGGTAGCGAGCTGTCTCTAAACTACTCCTGAGTCACCCCCTACTGTTGTTCAAATATACTAAACCAAACAAATAACATTCTACAGGAGAGAGAAAAAACCATTTCAATCGTCCAACTATTGTTTCTACATCATGCATTTTTTCTTGTGTTTTTTTTTTCGATGTCTAGAATTTGTTCTAAACAAAATATATAAATTTGTCAACATAAACAATTCTACTCCAAGTGGAAAATACAACATTAAACAGAAACAAGTCTTGAATACATGACAATGATGACATAATTTTTATTAATAGAATTGACATCAGATCTAACGTAAACACAATTCCAAAGTTAAAGCTAGAAACATTTAGAAATTTAATTGAAATATGCATACCCACAAATACAAAACTTGATCTAACTGAACAATTAGAATAAATATAAAATACTCTTTCTGGGAAAAAAAAATTATATATATATATATATATATGTGTGTATGTATATATATATAATCAAAGTGACCTTGGGACAGGAGAAGATAGGAGTTGAACCAAAAAAAAAAAAAAAAAAAAAAAAAAAACTTCCAACAAAATGGTAGTAAATCAAGCATTGACCAGAGATAGGAGTCAGGCCGTGTGCAGTTGGGTCACAAGCTCAAAGAGAACATGACTGTTCACTCCTGTTGTTAATAAAACGAACTGCGTTAATGACAAAGGACAAGAAACAGGAAGCATCATCATTCAGACAGAACAGGCTCCCCGCTGACAGTTATACCAACAGCCACAGTCACAGTCTTCTAGTAGATTTTCAAGAATGATGTGCAATCAAAAACAAAAAAATTCAACCATCACTCATAAACAAACTACACGTTGGTAAATGTTCCTAGAGTCTTTTCAAAAGAGATAATGACGAAACCGGAAACTTTATGACCTTGTCCTTTTCATCAGCTTGGCATCTACAGAATATCCTGTCTGTTGTCTTGGTTAAATTTGGAGTAATAACTGGGAGGAAAAGGGTATTGGGAGGAGGATAGTACTACCAGAGCGAGGATGATGAGGGGGAGATTGGGGCAACCAACGCTGTGTGTGTTTACAATTTAAATGAGAAATTATAATGAGGAGTAATGGCAATACAAGTGACTATTACAAGCAGGGACCGCCGCACACAGCTGGTGGGGGGTCCCCGGCTACAAGTTGCTCACAGCCCTTTCTTCAGTGGGCCAATCAGACGTGGAAGCGCCACCAGGGACAGCCGTACAACATTCAACGAGTTTTTCCAGCAAAGAATTTCATAAAACTGACTGGCGCAAACTTCTGGGGCACATGAGAAGCTTCGGATACACTTTTCTTAACAATGGGCAGCTTTAACTTTCTAGCTGGACAATTCCTCAAGGCCAAAATCTTTGCTTCCATTCAATCATGTACTCACAGAGTAGCAAAGCTTCCTCTGTCGAATGTGAAAGGTGTTGTAGAACAGCAAGAAAAACCTCCCTCACTCTGATACTTCCACATCTGTGGGCTCCACTGAGGCAGCCGTCAAGTTTCTCTCTCTATGGATTTGTTAGTGTTATTATGTACAAATGCTACATGACATGCTCATCAAGTTGACTGTTCGGGGGGGGGGGGTCAAGTATGATAATGAAAGTGCCATACAACATAATTTATTTATCAAAGGTCATTCATGTGCTGTGACAACACCAGACACCACAGCCGGAACTGGGACAGAACCAAACTCTGATGGAAAAAGAAGGCTATATCTGTTGAAAGAAAGTGAAAGACATTTTGTTCCTGCAGAAGTTAGCACTGTGTTTGGACTTGGATTATTGTTTACTGGACCGACTCATCTCAGAACTAGAGATTCCAGCCGGCCAAAAACCAAGGGATCAACTCTATTGATGCTAAATAAATTGCAAAAAATAATCCCTCGTACATATTCCCATTCAGATACAGAAAATATCTGTGTCCATGAACGAGTCATCAGATACAGAAAATAATCATGGGTTGCTTCAAGCCACAGGCTGCCAAGCTAAATCCACGTCCACTGTAGCACTGATGGATCACAACAGTGCACGGAGTCTGAAGTAAAGAGTTTCTCACTCTAGGAGGAGCCCCAGACCTGATCCGAAATAGGAACCCATGTCACGAGTGGTGATGAGGTCTACTATGCAGGCATCGCTCAAAACGATGAAACAAGTCACTCTCTCTCTCTCTCTGCTTGCTTCCATCCTAGCTGTGTGTGACAATGATCATGGCACAACATAAATGATATCAACATATCACATCCATTGAATGCACATCTTCATCTGACACCTGACACCGACCACAATTTCACCGACAAAACACAACAGAAGAAGAAGAAAAACAAAACAAATCTAGAAATATCCGTAGATCAGAACTAAAAAGCAAAGAAAGGAAAGAAGAAATGTATTTCTTCATGAAATGAGTGGTGATCTCAGAACGTTTCTTCTCGACATTCTACCATTTCTTCACATACCCCAGGGGGATCAATTCTATAGTATGTTATCTTTTTTGTCCTATTTTGCTTTCCTTTTCAACTGAAAGGAACGGGGAAGGGTACTCCCATTTCAGACGCATAATATCAAAGTTGACAGACAATGGTGCAACAGTGGACACAAACAAGTGACCCCCCTCTCCAGCACGGTCAGTGAAGTCTTTGCATCGTGAGCATCCACCACAGGCCCCAGTGACGGAGAAAACAAAGACCAGATACACATAGAGAAAAAAAAAAAGCAAAAAAAACCCAACAACAACAAATAAGTTTAACCAAAGAGGGGTCTACTAGGACCAACACCCAGGAGATAGCAAAACTCATGGGCGTCGCTTACTGAACCATGGGGGGGCGGGACTGGGGGGAGTGGACATTGACACAAAAAGAGGCAGTTCTTCTCATGGAGGCTGGAGGAACGGAAGGAACCGACTGAAAAAATAAAGGGGGAGGAAGAGGATGAGGATGAAGAAGGGTGTCTTGAAAATAACTGCAAGTTGATAATAATAAAGAGATTATATTACAAATAAACATTCACAGTGATATAGAGGCATTCTTGTATGTACAGTAAAGTTAGCTTCTAATGAAGCAAGAACATCCAGTCCATGTCATTATATCAGTCTATGCTCATGTCTGTCTTCTCTTTCCCTTACTCTGACTCTGTAAAGAGCCATACGGTAAGGAATCTCTTGCACAAGTCCACGCAGGTGCCAAAATAATGACAACAATAACAATAACAACAACACAACAACTCACACATGTATACACACACATCATGCAAGCGCTTCAACACACACGCCCACATGTACAACACACACGCGCACACGTAGAGTCAAATACTGAAGTCTCCCAAGGCTGAGGCATAAATCAGTGAGGAGACTCCACAATGAAACAACACAGCAACATTGGCAGACATGACTGTGTCAGCTACTCTCACTCGTCTCCATACCCTACAACGCTCACCCCCATAAACAAACACACAAATGCACACATACACACGCTCATACTTAATATACACACTTGGTGGGGAGGAGGGGGTCTACCCTAATTACACATTGCACGTCCAGAACACGCAAAAGAGGCCACCAGCTGACAGAATCTTGCGCTATGCGGAAATGGCTTCAACAACAAGAACTAGGAAATGACAGACAGACGGGGCTTTATTCAATCCTAAACAGGAATAGCCCCCAAGCACGAACGTCAGAAAGTCGCTGTTAAGTCACACACGAAACAAAATAATATTCCTAGGCAATAAATACTATTGCATGGATGGAGAAAACGTGTAGAGTGTTCCGTCACAGTCCTCTGTATTATGCTACTCTAGCGAGAGAGTCTCAGTCTTGCTCACTACACAATGCCTGCACTGCAAGCACCCATTGAAACCATACATTCCAACACAGCACAGAAGGAATTCCTAAACTGTTACACCAAACTCGTAAGGAAATCCAGAAAAAACCCACCTTTCTAACAAATCTCGTATACAAAACCAAACATTCTGGTTAGTCACAGAGTCATAGGGAATTCAGCAAATCTATTTCATCAGTGGATCAAATTACAGATGCAAAGGACTCAAAGTAATTTTTTATAAAGTGCATGCCTAATACAGTAAAAAAACAAAATTAAAAAAACAACAACCCAGCTATATGAGCTCGGGTGAAAAAAACTTATAGACTACAAATTGTATAAATGCTATAAGGTACTGGCAGCTGACGGTCAAGACGTGTCCAAGCTACCAAAGTAGTAAGTGTCCTCACTGAGCCAACTGGCTAGTCGCTCAGGTGTCCTGTACACAAACACTCAACTCATTATAGGCATAAATAATAGATTTCAAACAACGACAAAACGCACTAGACGGGGGGAGGGTATGGGGGTGGGGGTGGGTGGGGGGTGGGAATACAAAGCAACACAATCAAAGACACACATTGTTAAACATTCAGTCTTCCTTAGCAAAAAAAAATTGGGTATCCTTCCACACCCATTCAGTGAGCAAGCGTATCGTCAGGGCACGCGTTCGAGTCAGTCGGGCACACATTCCCAACGCAATGCATAAATCTGGGTCAGGGGAAAACACCAGCCATATATAGATCACATGCCAAGAAATAACCTGGAGAAAAAATATATATAAACCCCAGACAATCTTCATCCAAAAAAGTTGTTTTGTTGCGGGTGGTAGTCGGGAAGACCTTGGGTCGCATCCCTCTAATCATCCAAACACGTTTGCCGAGGACAAGATTCCGTAAGTCGCTCTCTCCCTCTTCAGCAGTTGACAGGGTAAAGTGGGAGGAAAAAACACAGCTGGGCTCAGCTACATACTGCGGCAACTCAACTGTACACCCACCAGGGCACAGCTCTCACATCCCGTGTTACCCAAGTGCACGTATGTACACACATGCAGGCACACACACACACAAACGCACGCACGCACACACACACACAGCCACCCATCATGCCACTGACTTCATGATTAACTCTTCCCTAAAAAAAAAATGAAAACGACAACTCAGCCCCACCCAAAATATCACTTCAGGCTGCACTGTGACTAAGTGTCTCTCTTTTTTTTTACTATTCACTTTCTTCCTCTCGTCTCACACTCGCAGTTTGTTAGTAGTAATGATGAAAATAGTGGTGATGATGGAGGTGGGGTGGTGGTGGTGGTTGTGGTAGTGATGTAGCATTGTCCAGTTGTTGTTGTTATTACACAGCTATCAAAAATCGGCAAACTCTTTGGCACATTTCTCCGTCGACGAGATGCGTAATGGCTCTTCCTCGTAGTCGTCAAAGTTGGCCGTGTCGCCGGCACCCTTTGTCTTGGGCACAAATGGAGCTTCAACCTGTGCAGAGACAACCGACAACACATCACTCAGAGACTGCTGGCAAGCTGTAAACTCGACACATTAATACCACAACGGTCATTTAGTATTATACTCCCCCCCCCCTCCCCAAAAAAGACAAAACAAATTCCCTCATCAAGTCTAAAAGAATCATAAAATGTTTATCAACTAGGTTCTAAGTTAACGTCCTGATGTCAAAGATAAGAATAAGTTTAAGCCAAACATACGTCATTTACAAATAATGATATCCTGCACTTATCACTACATGGCATTGGACAGAAGGGCGAGAGTCCAGCTATTGCTGGATCTATAACAACAACAACAACAACAACAAATAATGATATCATTTCATCTCTGTGATAGACCAAACACTAAACCCATGACAGATGGAATTTCTAAGAATGGAATAACAAAAATAATTTTTAAAAAAAAATTAGTGGTTATTTTTTTTTCAATCTTGAAGATCTGCAACTTTTTCAATAGCAGAGGGCCGTTGAATCATTAACCCTTGCCAAAAATA